CGAAGCCAACGTTGTAACGCTGCTCTTTCGCGGGGAGGCCCTTACGCCCGCTGGCCTCTCGCAAATGAACTCCCTGATCAATGAGATCGCCACCGATCCAAGTGTGGGAGAGTTGCTGGCGCCGGTCAATCCGATAATCGCGCCCTCAGGGCTTGTCATGGCCCTGCTCCAGGTGGGCGATTTCGAGTCGGTCACCCAGGCGCAAATTGAGTCCCTCCAGGGCCCGCCGGAGATCCTGGGGCCCTGGACGCACTGACCGGGACAGACACGGACGGCACCCCGGTAGCCATCGCCACCATCCGGGTGCTTGACACGGGCGACGAACGGATAGAAAGGGCTGAACGGAGAATTAACGAGCTTGCAATGGAGGATGAGGGCCCGCTGCAGGTTAGCAGCGTCTCCCCCGTGGTGATTGAGGACGAATACAAGAAGGCTACGGAGGAGGGGATGGCGCCGCTGGTCGGGCTGGCCTTCCTGCTGATCGCCGCGCTCATCCTGCTCTTCATGCGCACCATCTCAGACCTGCTGCTCACGCTGATCGGACTTCTCACGTCGATAATCTGGATAGTGGGGGCAGAGGGCTGGCTCGGGCCGAACGCGCTGGGTCTTACCGGCCCCCGAACTCGCTGACCACAATGGTGCCGATCATCATCATCGGCCTCACGGTAGACTATGCGATCCAGATCATCTCGCACTATAGGGAGCAGCGAAATGCCGGCGAACCAGTGCTGGCCGCCGTGCGCATGGGGTTCCAAAACGTCACCATCCCGCTGTTGCTGGCCGCCGTCACGACAATCGTCAGCCTGTTGGCGAGCCTCTTCTCCCCCATCAGCATTATTGGGGACTTTGGCATCATAGCGGGGCTGGGCGTGGGTATGAGCCTGATAGTGATGCTCACGCTGGTGCCGGCCTGTCGGACGATCATCGACCGAAGGCACGAGGCACGGGGCACGTTGAAGCCACCCCGTCCAATCTCCAACACTTTGCCTGGCGTCAGTTGGTTGGCCGGAGCTGCTGGGCAGGAGTATCACCCGCGCGCCTGCGCCCTACCTGGTCGCCGTGCTGGTGGTAACGATAGGACTGGGTTTCGCAGCTACGGGGCTCAAGTCGGAATTCAGCACCCGCGACATCCTGCCCCGGGGCGGGACCCTGTTGCAGGATTTGGACACCCTGAATGCGGCCGGCGGCGGTTCCAAGGAAATGGCGACCATACTTTTGAAGGCAGAGGCCACGGAAACTCGCACCCTTCTGAACATGCACGACCTCACCAGCGCCTTCCGCGACGAACGCACCCGTCCCGGAGCGGCGGCCGGACCGATGATCGCATCCTACGAACTGCTGGTTCACGACTGGACCGAGGACAGCGGGGAACCCGGCGACAAGTACGACCCCGAGTTGGCTGCCCTCTTCCAGGAAGCCTCAGCGGGGGTGCAACTCGACCCAGCGAAGATGCAGGAATTTCTCGACAGGCTTGAGGAAAAAGATCCCGCCCTTGGGCGCCTCCTGGTCAACAATCCGGAGGGCATCGATACCATCCTGCTCCAGTTCCCGACCTACGCGAGCGACCCCGCGCAAACCAAGCTGCTCCAAGAGGACATTGAGGCGCTCTGGTTCGGCGACGACGCTGATGTTACCGCGACTTCGAAAAGCATAATTTCGATCACGGTCACGGACTCGATTACCGAGCGGCAGACCGAGTCAATTACCACCACCATCGTGGCGGCCCTGGCCGCGCTCGCCATCTTTTTCTGGCTGACGCTGCGCCAGCCTGCGCTGTCCTTAATCGCGGTGGGACCGATCGTGCTCGTCCTAATCTCGGTGCTCGGCACGATGGCGCTGCTGGGCATCCCTTACAAAATTATCACGTCAATCATCACGGCGCTGTCCATCGGTATCGGGGTTGACTACACCATCCACATGATTCATCGCTACAGCGAGGAGTACGCGCACAGTCGCGACCCGGAGCAGGCGGCAGTCCGCACGTTGGCCACGACGGGTTCGGCGTTGCTGGGCTCTGCGCTAACGACGGCGCTGGGGCTGGGAGTCCTGGTGGCCTCGCCGCTGGCTGGATCCCAGCAGTTCGGATTTACGGCGGCGATAACCATCGCCTACTCGTTGATAGTATCCATCCTGGTGGTGCCGGCCTTGATGACCTTCTTGGGAGCGTACCAGAACATGAAGCTGCGCTCGAACGTAAGGCGCTGGGCGGGAGGAACTCGACCTGGAAATCGAAGCCGTGCATCTCCGCCACGAGCAGGAGCAGCAGTCGACCTAGACGTAGACGTAAGATGTAGCGGGATGCTGCGATGCATCTGCCGCGGAGACGTGATCAGGTAACTTATTTAGGGGCCGTCCAAGGACGGCCCCCTCGTAGTTGAGACTGGTTCGGCGCGTGTTGATGGCCGTTTGGCAGGTCAGGCGGGCAGGTCGCGCCTCTGCTCGGCAATGAGGAATTTCAGCTTCTTGCTCGGCTTCATAGACGGAATGGGGCTGAACTTGAGCTTGTAATCCGCCGGGGACACCTTAATCGTGAAGTAATGGGCCAGCATCAGGATGTTGACCGCCAGTTGCAGTTCCATCCATCGGGATCCGAGACAGGTGTGCGTACCCAGCCCATACGGGGCGTACCCGGGATTGAGGTGTTCATTCCGCGGGGGCAAGTAGCGGTCGATGTCGAAAGTGTAGGGGTCGGGGAAGACTTCACTCATGTAGTACGACGCTGTCTGGGCAATGAAGAGCCTTGTCCCCACCGGTATCTCATAGTCCTCTACCACGCACGAATTCATCACATCCCGAACCGACATCGGGACGATTGGGTACATGCGCATGCATTCCATCAGGAACCGGTGTGTAACATTGATCGCGGACGGGGTGAAGTCCTCCTGGGCAGGGTCGCCGTCGGCAAACAGGGCATCCGCCTCAGCCCGGATCTTTTCGTAGAGCGCGGGCTGTGACGCCAGGGCGTATACCGCAAAGCTGTAGGCATCACCCAGGTACACGCTGGCGATCAGCGCTGCGGAAAGGGCAAACCGCAGATTCGACTCCGGGACGAGCTGCGGGTCGCTGGCGTGCAGGCTGAGAATGTCATCCGCCAGGTCCCGAGGACACCCCGCCCGCTGGGCAGGTGTATGAACGTACTGGACCCGTTCCAGCAAGATTTCGATGGCTTTCGTCCTGCCTTTCATTCCCGGGGTCTTCAGCATGAACTTGGGCAGGGCCCTGACGATGTGAGTGGTGAGCGCTCGCTCCTTGTACTTCATCAGGTCGTCGATTATGTCCTGCGAGTCAAGGCTCAAAGAAAGCGGCGAGATTTGGGCGTTAATCATCAGCCGGCACATGCTCGTCGCCGGGTAAGAGTCTCCTACATTCCAATTCGCCATGTATGCCCGGGCATGGTGATAGAGCTGGTCAAGCTGCCCCTCTAGTCTCCCCCGGGAGTAGGCCGGCGCCATGGACTTGCGAAGCCGGAAATGGTCACCGCCATCCAGCGAGGGCAATACCCCGGACGCGCCGTAGAGTTTCTAGAATTCAGCAAAATAGTCCTTGGCCCTGAGGTGCATACGCCCGTTCCGGTGCGCCCAGCGATTGGTCTCAGGCCCGGCCATGAAGATCATGGGTTTAGAAAACGGCGGGCGGACTTCAAACACCGGGCCATGCTTTTCCGCCAGATCAGCGAACAGCGCGGGAAGATTGCCGTCGCGAACATTTGGATGGAGCGCAAGCTGCCGCAGCGGAACGGTGGGAATTTTCTTGGTCAGGGCGGATTGTCACAGCAACGGGCCGGCGAGGTTATGGGAGACCGCATCGGCAATAGACCGGCCGATCAAGTCCAAATTGCAGATGAACTGGATGCGCTCTTCTGCCGCGTCTTCAAGGTGGAACATGAAGCGAAAGACGTCGCAAGTATTGACGAGACAGATAATGATGACGTCTCTCGGGTCGGGAATCTCATTGTTGAAGATGACGTTGCTGATGCGCGCTTTCACGAACTGGACTGCGGTGCCTTCCGTATCGCTGTTGAAGTGTTCCGTACGCCAGGCGGTGGGAGACAGTGTCCAGAAATCTCCGGGGTGGTATTCCAGAATCTTCAGGTCAACCAGGCGTTCCAGGGTCAAGTCGATGATGGACTCGGCACGGGGAGCAAGCCTTTCTATCCAGTACTGGGCGTTCCTTCGAACCGGCTCGCTGGCAATTTCATTCAGAATGGGGTCCAGGGCGAGGTTGCCGGTTTCCGTAGGGTCGACCAGGTACAGGGAGGGATTGCATATCCGTGTCGATTCGAGACATCAGGGAGAGTTCAGCCAGCACGGAGCCGACGATGGCGCAGTTCAAGTCCCAGCCGGGTACCTGGTGAAAGTAGCCGCTCTCTTCGTTGAGGAGCGTCAGGATGAGTTCGTCAGGGAGACTTAACTGTTGGGTAGCTATATCGACAGTTCAGAGAGCCATTAGTAAAACTCTACGAGCACCTTACAGATGCCCTAAAACCACTTAACATTGCAATACCAGATATGAGCATATCGTTATGCAAGAAAGAGGGCAATTGACTGATTAGGGAGGTTCCAATGGGTTTAGGGTTATCGAAACGTGGGCAAGCTTGAGAGACAAGATTCTCACTCAGGAAGAACCTTCCAGGCGTCACTGGCCTTAAATGCCGCGTACCCATTGAAGCCGTTATAAGGCGCTGGCTGAGCGCGACCATTTAAGGACCATGATGGGAATGCCAGTATTGTCCACCACCAGCATCAACCTGGTTCCTTCATTGCCACTTAGCCCTGGCTGGTCTCCTTCCTTCCCGGCTTGGACAAAGTGGTCAAGGTATAAGAATAGCGGTGCGTCGGCCCGCCCCTTCAGCCCGCCTTGTCCCAAAACTACCGCCGGAGTATCATACCCTCCAACTTAAAGGCTTCCAGAGTCGTCAGCATCATTGGTTGTTCTGGGGTTGTTCTGGCGCCGGGTTGAAGGGGTGAGCGATGCCACGGAGAAGTTTCTGGGCCTGGGGCATGGAGTCGGATGAACCCACCGGGGCGCAGCGCGGGGAGCTGGCCGCAAGCCTCTCCAGCAAGTACGGCGTCACCATTGACGTCCCTCCGGTGCCCGCCAGCAGCGACCTGGACCTGCGAAAGCCCCGTATGGCCGTGCCCGACTCCCTGGCATCCATTTGCTCCACCGATACCCACGAACGGGCGGTCCACACCTACGGCCGCAACTTCTCCGACCGGGTCCGCGCCTTCAACCTCCAGTTCCCCAATCCGCCCGACGTGGTGGCCTACCCCAGGAATGAAGCGGACGTGGAGGCTCTCCTGGACTGGTGCTCCGGCCAAGGCTATGCCGCCATCCCCTGCGGCGGCGGCAGTTCGGTAGTCGGCGGAATTGAGCCGCCCGACGATTACGACGGTGTCGTATCCATCGACCTGGGCGGACTGGACCAGGTGCTGGAAATTGACGAGGTATCCCGGGCGGCCCGTATCCAGGCCGGTGTCTACGGCCCAGCGCTGGAAGAGCAGCTGCGTCCCCACGGGTTCACCCTGCGCCACTTCCCCCAAAGCTTCGAGTTTTCCACGCTGGGCGGCTGGATTGCCACCCGCTCCGGCGGCCACTATGCCACCAACCAGACCCACATCGACGATTTCGTAGAGTCCGTCCGAATGGTAACGCCCCAGGGCATCTGGGAGTCCCGCCGACTCCCCGGCAGCGGAGCCGGCCCCAGCCCCGACCGCATGGTGCTGGGCAGCGAGGGAACGCTGGGAATTATCACCGAGGCGTGGATGCGGATTCAAGCCCGGCCCCGCTTCCGGGCGTCCGCCGCCGTCACCTTCCCATCCTTCGAGCAGGGCGCCGAAGCGGTGCGACAAATCGTCCAGACCAAGCTGTGGCCCGCCAACTGCCGCCTGCTGGACCCGGGCGAAGCCGCCGATGCCCTCGGCTCTGACGGCACCCAGGCCATCCTGGTGCTGGGCTTCGAGTCTGCCGAGCTTCCCCAGGGAGAGCAGATGCACCAGGTCATCGCCATCGCCCGCGACTGTGGCGGCTCCGTGGGCGAGGAACAGATAAGGATCATCGATGGTAGCGGCGAAGAGGCCCGCCGTCCGGAAGCTGTGGGGGCCTGGCGCAACTCCTTCATCAACGCTCCCTACCAGCGCAACGCCTCCATGGGCATGGGCCTGGTCGCCGAAACGCTGGAGACGTCCATCACCTGGGACCGGTGGCACGCTATGGATGCCGCCGTGCGGGGCGCGTTGCAGGACGCCCTTGACCGCGTGTGCGGCGGCGGACGGGTCACGTGCCGCTTTACCCACGTCTACCCCGACGGCCCAGCCCCCTATTTCACCTTCGAGGGAATGGGTCGGCCGGGCGCCGAACTGGAAATGCACGAAGAGATTAAGCGGGCCGCGTCCGATGCAGTCATTGCAGCCGGTGGCACCATCACCCACCACCACGCCGTGGGCCGCGCCCACCGCCCCTGGTATGACCAGCAGCGACCGGATCCCTTCGCCGCCGCGCTGCGGGCCGCCAAGTCCGCCGTGGACCCCAACTGGGTGTTGAACCCCGGCATTCTGTTTGACCGCTAGCGTCCAACCAAAAGTCCCTTCCCCCATTAAAGAAGGAAGGGATTTAGATCAATCGGACGTAACAACTTCATTCCACAAGGAGGGCAGATGGGAATTTCCAACGAGACCATGCGAGCCATGATCAAGGAATACGGGGGCTTCGAGCTTTCCGATGAAGAACTGGAACTGGTCCGCCCCGAAGTGGACGGCTACCTCGAAGCCATGTCTGGAATAGCAGCTTTGGAACTGTCCGACACCATGTCCAGCCGGTTGCTGCGCGCCGCCGAAGGAGATACCGACGATGCCGAATGACGAACTTCTGGACCTGACCATCAGCGAACTGGCCCCCAGGATAGCTTCGCGGGAGGTTTCTCCCGTGGAGGTCACCGAGGCCGCCCTGGCCCGCGCCGACCGCCTCCAGCCTAAGCTCAACTCCTTCATTACCCTGCTGCACGAACGGGCGATGGAACGCGCCCGGGAACTGGAGTCGGAAGTGGCAGAAGGCAAGTACCGCGGGCCCCTCCACGGAATCCCATCGGCATCAAGGACAACCTCGCCACGCGGGGCATCCGCACCACCGTCGGTTCCCTGGTGCTGTCCGACAACGTCCCCGAAGAGGACGCCCGGGTGGTCACCCTCTGCGAAGAGGCCGGGGCCATAATCCTGGGGAAGGAAAACCTGGAGGAATTCGCAGCCGGCGCCACTTCCAACAACCCCCATTACGGCGCCGTCCACAACCCCTGGGGTCTCGACCACATCCCTGGCGGGTCCAGCGGCGGCGGCGGAGCCAACGTTGCCTCCGGCGTAACCTTCGCCTCCCTGGGCACCGACCTGGGCGGCTCGGTGCGGTTGCCGGGCACTTTCTGCGGTGTGGTGGGCCTAAAGCAGACCTTCGGACGAGTGAGCCAGCGCGGCCTGCTGGTAACCAGCTTCAACGGCGACCATATCGGCCCCATGACCCGTTCCGTCGCCGACAGCGCCCTTGTACTCCAGGCCATCGCCGGCTACGACCCCCTTGACCCCAGCACCGTGCCGGTACCGGTGCCCGATTATCTGGAACAGGTGGGCCAAGACCTGGCCGGCCTGACCGCGGGCATCCCATCCAACTATTTCTTCGACGAGGTCGATTCCGAGGTGGAGGCCGCCGTTCGCAATGCCATTGCCGCCCTGCAGGAGTTGGGAGTACAGGTTCGGGAAGTCAGCCTGCCCAGCATGGAGTACGTGGGGGCCCTGAGAGCAGCCAGCCTGGCGGACGGTATCGTCACCCATGAACCTTACCTGACCAGCGACCGTGACAAGTACGGGCCCAACGTCATCTACCGCACCCTGGCCGGCCAGTTCGTCCTGGGTCGGGACTACTCCAGGGCCCTGAAGGTGCAGCGGCTCATCAAGGAGGAATACGCCCGCGTCTTGCAGGAGGTGGACTTCCTGGTCACACCCACCGCGCCCATTCCCGCCCCGCGCATCGATGCGGTGGACCTCGAGCTGAACGGCGAAACCCACCGGGTCCGGGGGCCCGGCTCAGGGTTCATTTCCCGCAACACCAGCCCCATGAACGGGAACGGCCTTCCGGCCATTACCGTCCCCTGCGGGTTCAGCGGGGAGGGACTGCCCATCGGCGTCCAGTTCATCGGCAGTCCCTTCGACGAAAGGTTGCTGTTCCGGGTGGCAGCGGGCTATGAACAGGTCTCGCCGAGCAAGGGCGTCCGGCCCCAGGTGTGAGCACTGGCAGGCAAAGTCAGTAGCGCAAGATGGCAGTCGTAGAGAGGGCCGTGTTCCGGGGAGGAACTAAAGGGCATCGAAGGGAGCCGTGAGCCTACCGCTTGCTTAAAGGCATGGAAGGCCGCGTTCTCCCTGCTGTTGGTACGACGGCAGGAAGTGCCAGGAATACGTCTCTCAGGGATATGGGCCAGGTGCCGCGGTAGTTGGCGCCGCCCCTTCAGCCGGGCTGTCAGCCACTTGGAAAGTATCTCGATGATCCCTTCACCCTTGACGGGGGAAGGTCAGAAGGGGGGTGACTTGAGGCGTAATGTCAACGCTGGGCACAACCGCCAATTTCACCGCAGGTCTTGAGACAGTTTCTAAGGGCGGCAGCAGAAAGAAACTGCGTAATTGTCAGGAGTCGGATTTCATGAGAGCGGGACGGATCTTCGTATTCCAGTAGTCGTTCTCCCTCGCCTCCCGCAGTTCCTCCACCAATTGCGCCGTCTCCGTTCCCACAGCTTCACCCAGTTCAGATGTGGTACGCTCTCCGGCCAACTCGGTTACCGCTGCCCGCAGTTTCATAACGTATTCAGCGACTTCGTAGGCAGCCTGGTCGGAAGCAGAGCGGGCCTGCAAGGCCTCAAGCTTCTCCAACCATTCCAGACCCTTCTGGGCATCGTCGAACATGTCATCCAGCCCGCTGGCCGTAGTCATCTGGCATCCTCCACTATCGTATCTAAATGTGCCGGGATTGAGGGACAATAGCACTGGGCTTCGCAGTAAACTCCCTTGCTGATCTGCTTGGGGGTATAACCTTGCCGATACCCGTGTGGACCGCCGCGCCCAGCTTTCGACTTATATCATACATTGCGCTACCAGGATTGATAAACCTGACGCTTGCATCCAGGCTTGCCAGGCCTCGTCATTTATAGCCCGCAATTCCAGCGCTGATGGCCTGTTTTCACTTAAACTTCCATCGATTTAGGAGAAAGGCAACCATTTCCCAGTGTGCAGCAGGATTATTCATCCACGCGGCTTATTGACGAAGCTGCCCTCGGGACGTAACCTAAGCTCACGCAAGCACAAAATCTAACCTACAAGAGGAGTTTGGCATGACTATCAGTAAGCAGACTACCTACGAGGTCGTAATCGAAGACGTAGAATATCTCCGTCACGGCGATAAGCCCTTCCAGGCGCGGCTCTTCAAGCCCCAGGGAGACGGACCCTTCCCGGTAATGATCGAACTGCACGGCGGCGCCTGGGTGAATGGCAGCCGCGATAGCGGCGACGTCGGTAACGAAGCCCTGGCCGGCAACGGCATAATCGTCGCGGCCCTGGACTTCCGCGTTCCGCCGGAAGCTTCGTATCCCGCTTCCTTCCAGGACATCCACTACGGCATCCGCTGGGCCAAGGCCTACGCCGCCGAATGGAACGGCAACCCGAACAGCATCGGCGCCATGGGCACTTCCAGCGGCGCCCACCAGGCCATGCTTTTGGGCATGCGGCCCTCCGACGCCCGCTACTCGGCCCTATCCCTCACCAATGGCGCATCCGATGTGGACGGCACCCTGGGTTGTGTGATCATGGTCTCTCCGGTAATCGATCCGCTGGGACGCTATCACTACGCCAAGGGTATGCGGGAAGACATCAAGCCCCCCGAGTCAGTCGGCGAGCGCACCGCCTCCATGCATGACATGTACTGGGTGACCGAAGAGGCAATGGCCGAGGCTGCCCCGGCCCGCGCGCTGGCCCGTGGCGAGAAGACCGACCTCCCGCCCACACTGTGCCTGGCCCGCCTCTACGAGGCAGCGCATCCCCGCCCGGACCTTGACGAGTTCATCTCCCAGTACCGCAACGCCGGCGGGAGTATTGACGTGACGATCTTCGAAGGCGAAGGCGAAGGAGTGCTGCGGGACCTTTCCTCGGACGTAGCGCAGCAAGCCCTCGAACAGATGACCGCGTTCATCAATCAGCACCTCGGGTAAGCCGCGACTGCCCGAAAACCTTTGGTTAACAGTAACGGCGGACCGGCTTTCTGGGCTGAGTCCGCCGTTTCATTGCAGTTAGATACAGCGAGCTAGAGCAAGAGTGAGTCCGGTGCCCGATTGCGGGCCCGACCAAGGAGTTGACCATGGCCACACAGCAAGAGGAAGGGGCTGTTCCTGACTTTCTTCGCATGGAGGACGCCGGCGGGCCCGACTCCACCAATCCTCACCGCAGCGAAACCTGGTATGGCTGGCCCAGCAAACAGGTGGACCCGGTCAACTTGCTGGACGACGAAGGAAGGACCAGGCGGGTGAGGACTCCGGTGATGGACCTTGAGGGGTTAATCACGCCTACGGAACTCCACTACGTAGTCCAGCATTTCGACATCCCGGAAGTGGTACCGGCGGACCAGTGGACCCTGACCATCGACGGCGAGGTCAGGAACCCGCTGACCATCAACTACGAGCAGTTGCGCCGTTACCCGGGCCGCACGGTGCGCACCGTTATGGAGTGCTCCGGCAGCGACGCCACCTACTTTGAGTACTTCAAAGGCGAGGGCCCCAAGCCCTCCAGGACGCAGGAAGCGATGATCCTCAGCGCCTCAGAGTGGACGGGCGCGCCGCTGGCCTCGGTGCTGAACGACGCCGGTCTGACCGACAAGGCCCTGTACATCCGGGCCGAGGGTTGGGACGAGGGATTGCCGGCTACCGCCGCCCCGGGCACGGAACCCTTCTTCTACGACAAGGGGCTGCCCCGGCTGAAGGCCCTCCACCCGGATACCATCCTGTGCTGGGCCCAGAACGGCCAGTTGCTGGAGCACCTGCACGGGGCGCCGGTACGGCTACTGGTGCCAGGCTGGTCGGGCAACTGGTCGGTAAAGTGGATTCGCCGTCTGGAAGTCCTGGACCACCTGCCGGACTGCTGGTACCACTACAATTTCTACTACTACGCGGACTCCCCCGACGCCACGGACAAGGAGTTGATCACGACCATTCCGGTCAAGTCCATGGTTACCCACCCCAACGACGACACCGAAACCCTGCCCCGGGGCACTCACGTAGTGCGGGGATACGCCTGGAGCGGCGACGGGGCCATTACCCAGGTGGAGGTCAGCGTTGACGGCGGCGAGACCTGGCGCGCGGCACGGCTGGAGGAGCCACGGGAAAGGTGGATGTGGGTCAGGTGGTCCTACCTGTGGGAGGCCAATGAACCAGGGCAATACCAGGTTATGTCCCGGGCCACTGACGCCTCGGGCCGCACCCAGTCCCGGGTGCCCCGGTACAACAACATGCGGAAGAACTTCACCGCCGTAGTGGGCTACGACATTACCATCAAGTAGCGCCAGAGAGTAGTGGCGGCAGATACCGGGTAGGTTACTCAGGCCAGCGTCGGCCTGAGAGAGAGTTACAGAGTCTGGCACACCAGAGTCTTTCGCCCGTGCCGGGAACGGAGAGCTAGAGCAGGTCTTTCAAATACGGGCGTAGAAGCAAGTGAGTACCTGAAAGGACTATCGCCCCTACCAGCACGAACACGACTGATGATGGGGCCCAGCCCACGACCACAAGCCCCAGGGCAGTTCCCGCCGCAGGAGGGTGTTCGGTGTCCGTCAAGACCATCAGCAGGGTGCTGATGCCTACCGATACCACGGCTATAAGATCACGAACGAGGTTGGAAGCGGATACCAGGTCCCCCCAATCCGGCACGAGATACACCAGGGAGAAAGACGTCCCAACAACCACCGCCACGACGTGCCCGCCGATTACTCTCCGGGGGGTGGATGCCTGGCTGTGCGGAGCAATGAAGACAATGAATGCTGTCAATGCAATGGCCACCACGATGGCGGCACGTAGCACCACGTCCACTACCAGGAGAATCACCAGCAGCGCCACCATGGACAGCCCACACTGAAAGAGGTAGCTCTTCCAGTAGCGACGGAACTTTCTGTCCGTCACCCGGACTTTGAGCGCCAGTCGTCGCATCGACCGTCGTCTGTCAAATTTGAGCGCCATAGCTGGCCCGTATGTTCCCACCTCACCCGTAAGTATGCCACGCATTGGCGCGACCAGTTCCGGGCCTTTTGACCATCGTTTCTGGTAACACCACATATACGGGACAGGGTAGCCCCTAATGCTGGCGAGGGTTCAGACCTAGGAGGTACGGTTGCTGTGGTGCTTTGCTGAGAAGGCAGGCCTGTTGCGGAAGGCTGGACCAGGTCGGTGAGAGGCCGGTGGAGAGAATGGTTAGCATCGCCCCGCTTCCGAGACCGTGCCGGAGCGTGGTGACATTAACTTGCACGCGGTTCCCCCAATATTCATTCCAAGTGCAGCCGGGGAATTCAAACCGTTTTCCATATGGACGCGCTATCGCCGAACCTGGCTTTGGGGAAT